TATTGGCCGCCTCCTGGAAAGTAGTCTCACTCCCAGCCTCCCTAGCCATCTGAAGACAAATTGGCTGAATAAGACCGTCAATAAACCTCCTCACCCTCTCTCTCTCTCTCTCTCGGTAAGAAGTATGACAAGAGCATAGCAAGCCAAGTCAATGAATCTGGTCTCATACTAGGTAACAGTCATGGAACCCTACTGGAGACGCTCAAATTGCCTTTGATAGGCCTCTCTCTGAGTGAAGGGGAGAAACTTCTCCAGAAATAGCTGAGTAAACTGCTCCGAAGTCAAATCTGGCGATCCGGCTGGTCTATCCAAACAGTAATCTCTCCACCAAGTCTTGGCGGATCCAGACAAGCGAAAAGTGGCAAAATCTACCCCATTGGTCTCAACTATCCCCATGTTCCTAAGAACCTCGTGACAACTGTCTAGATAATCCTGGGAATCCTCAGTAGATGCACGCTGAAAGTAGTAGTGAAGAGCTTGGTGAACCTATCCAACCTCCACAAAGCATCGGCAAACATAGCTACTCCATCACCGGTCTGAGCTACCATGCTCGGCTGAACTGCTCCAACTAGCTAAAACGCTGAAGTCTGAATCTGGGCAGCTACCTGCTCTGGAGTGCGAGTAGCAGGAGTCTAGGCTCCTCCTCCATCCCGAGAGATGGTTGGTGCTACAGGAAGCAAGCCTGCTCGGGTGACACTCTCCATGAGGCCCACTAGACGGACCAAAGTATCCTGAAGAACTGGGGTATCAATAAACCCCTTTAGGAACTGAGTTGGGCCTACCGGAACTGCTGGGGCCGGAACCTCGTCATCAAAGTCAACCTGAGGCTCCGCCATTAGGGCTGCTGCTCGGGGCAGAGCTCTGCCTCTACCTCGGTCTCTAGCACAGCCTCAGCCTCTCCCTCTACCCCTGGTGGGAGCTATTGTTGGGGGCTCGGACTGCTGGTTAGTGAATGAGAAAGCACGTGTTCTCGCCATCTGCGAAAGAACAGAGTAGAAATTCAATTAGCATTGAGAAACCAAACCGCACGATAGGAAAGAATAAATGTGAAGTTTTCCTAACTCTGTAGCCTCTGAGGGATAAATACAGATGTCTCTGTACCGATCCCTCAGACACTACTAAGCTTGTCTATGAACTGTGAGACCTATGTAACCTAGAGCTCTGATACCAACTTGTCACGACCCGGATTTTCCACCTTCGGGAGTCGTGATGGCGCCTACTAATGAGAGCTAGGCAAGCCAATCCTTAACTACTTACTTCATTATCAACTTACTTCTTTTTAACAAATACAAGGCGATAACATGAAAACAACGGAACTTTAAATAATTAAGCGGAAGATAATAATTAAATATCTGAAATCTGCGTCTATTAAAATTACTTAAGTCTCAACTACCCAAAACTTGGTGTCACAGTGTCACAGACGGTCTAAAATTTACCACATACAAAGTCTGAAGAAATAATAATACACTGTTCCGGAATATAAGGAAAATGAAACAGGAAAAATAGAGATAGAGGGCGACGCCAAGGCCTGCGGACGCCTGTAGGTCTACCTTGGATCTCCGCGTGGACTGAAGGTAGCCTCCACACTACGGTCCAAAAGCTACTCCAGGATCTGCACATAGTGCAGAGTGTAGTATCAGCATAACCGACCCCATGTGCTGGTAAGTGCCTAGTCTAACCTCGGCGAAGTAGTGACGAGGCTAGGACCAGACTACCAAATAAACCTGTGCAGTTCAAATATATACATCGGAAAAGAAATAAATTTATAACCAGTCAATATTGGTGGGGGAGCATTTTGTGGGGGAGATAACAATTTCGAATAGAAAGACATCAAGTAATGAAAGAAACAATATAACTTGGATATCAACAAAGAATCAGAAATCAAAAAATGCACGATATCACCTTTCGTGCTTTTGCTCTCGTCCTCACCAAGACAATCATATAATAAAAATGTGAACGACATCACCCTTCGTGCTTTTACTCTCTTTCCTCAACATATAATCAATAAAATCAGTACGGAATGGTACATCGTGCAACACGAGATCACCCTTCGTGCTTTACACTCTCTCCTCACAATAATACACGACATCACCCTTCGTGCTTTAACACTCTTCCTTACCTAAACAACAATCATAAACAATGGGCCAAGGGAATAAACAAGATTATAATAGGGATCCTGGCATGGGAACAACAATTCAACAATTAAGTTCTGGCAAGGGAGCAACATCAATAATATCAACATCCCGACAAGGGACATAACCAATAAAGCAACAATATCCCGGCAAGGGAACAATTTAATAACTTCTTTCTCTTATTCACTTTTACTTCACAACTCACTTTACCACTTGAGCCAATGCTCTAAAGGGTTCAATCAACTCATATACTTTCACAATTCATAATATAACTTGAGCCAATGCTCCTCGATGTTCAAAGGTCACAATTCCTTTCACAAACTTTTCACAACAAATAGAAATCAACTCTAAAGCATGGATAATACAACGAAGTCATGAAAATCACAATATAAGACTCACGTGCATGCTTGACACCAATGTATAGATATTTGTCACCATGCCAATACGTCGTACTCAACATTTATCACATAGCAAATATGACTCAACTCCTAATCCTTCAAGCTAAGGTTAGACCAAACACTTGCCTCGATGTCACGAACACAATGCATAATTAAATTATAGCTTTACCCCTTGATTCCACCACCAATTCACTCGTATCTAGTCACAACTTACTTAATTACATTAATAAACGCTAAATGAATCAATTTGAATGCATGAAAATGAATTTTCCAAGGTTTTACCCTAAAAGTCAAAAATCGCCCCCGGGCCCACATTGTCAAAACCCGAGGTTCGAACCAACACCCGATTATCCATTCTCCCACAAACTCAAATATATAATTTGTTTTGAAATCAGACCTCAAATCGAGGTCCAAATCTCCAATTTTTTCAAAACCTAAGTTCTACCCAAAACACCCAATTTTCCCCATGAAAATCCTTGATTTTGAGTTGAAATCATGTTAAAAGATGTTAAGGAGTGAAGAAAATGAGTTAGAAATCACTTACCAACATTTTGGAGAAGAAAGGTGTATGGGTCCAAATTTGATCGACCACGGCCTATAATGAGTATGACAAATGACCGAAAACCTACGAGTCTACAGAGGGGTACGACCCTGAGGTGGAAGTAGAGGCACTATCGTATCAGCATTAGATTCGGTATATAAGTGGGACTTAAGTCTTGTAAATGGGGACGGTATTTTTTAGATTCGGTATTCGGTCATCATCCCCTCCCCATTATTGTCATCCTAGAGTTTATTATCTTCGACTACAATTTACCCCTCTATCTTCGATTGACTTGCTTAAAAAGAGTTTAAAATCTTTTGAGTCAAACAATTTGGCGCCGTTTGTGGGAATTTCCATAGCCGAAATCATAGTTCTCATCTAGATTCTTAAAAGTAATGATTGCCATTCTTCAAACCCCATAAAAACCAACAACGACAGAGAAAGAAGCAAGGATAAAGATGATAGCAGATATCTCAAACAACCTCCTAAGCTCCCTTAATGAAGCCGGTAGAGAAGATACCGAGAATACAACACCAAGGGATATACCGGAGGGGGAGATCTCACCCTCCCCACACGAGGATATGACGGTCTTTCGTGAAAGCGGAGCCTCCACATCCATGACGAGAGAAACACCACCAACAATCAAAAAGCTGCTAGAGGAGTAGTCGGCAAGTGCTCTGAGCAACATGCTCGAAAAACCCCCTCAAGGAAATGTCGAAAATTTACCAACGGCAGAAATCGTAGCTACCATCGGTGAGCCAGATGCTACGCAAATGCGCAACACCCGCACTGTCATCGATGCAAGTGACGATGCGCTCATGACCATCCTAAAGAAAATGGAAGAGATGGAAAACGAGAACAAAGCACTTTGTGATCAAATGAAGGAGCACCAGGAAAGAGTTGACAAAATACCTGGCGCCCCTAAACTACTACCAAAATGCGATGTGGGCCGATTCATCAAACAACCATACAGTGATGGAGCTACTCCTCACCCCATCCCAAAAACCTTTAAACAGCCATACTTAGAATATACGACGGGACCACAGACCTAGAGGATCATCTAATCCATTACGTCACTGCGGTGAAGGGCAATGACCTGTCAAAAGAACAAGTACCATCTGTGTTGCTGAAAAAGTTTGGTGAGACTCTGACAGGAGGAGCATTAACATGGTAATCCCAGCTACCAGCATGATCGATATCAACATTTGAGGAGATGGCGGATAAATTCGCCACCGCTCATGCAGGGGAAAAGAAGGCTGAAGATCGGGTAAATGACATCTTCGCCATCAGGAAAATGGCGGGTGAGGAACTTCGAGACTTTCTTCTGGCCCGATTCAACAAAGTAAGGATGGGCCTGCCAAATGTGTCGGAAGGAATGGTGGTAGCGGCCTTCCAAAATGGGTTAAACAGGAACGGATCAAAGGCAACCCAAAAATTGCTCAATAGACTCATGAAGTATCCCCCACCACGTGGGAAGAGATTCACAACGCCTATTGTGCCGAGGTAAGGGAAGACGAAGACGATCTAAACAGCCCGACTCAGCGACCAACGTTAGTCCAAACCGAGGCAAGGAGAGATCGGCGTAATGATGGGAGAAGGGATCAACCCCCGTATTTCAATCGAGAAAGGCATCAGCCATATGTTAGAACATCTAACCCGCCTCCTCCAAGGCATACGGACGTCGTGTTACGACACACTGCACCCCTTTGAAATGAAAGAGGTATGCCTCCACTGTTATCTGCTCATAACTTTTTTGTTTCCCGTTCAAAGATAGTGTACGCACTGGAGAAGCTAGGCACGAAGGTGCAATGGCCACAAAAAATGAAATTGGACCCAAGCGTGAGAAGGTCAAACGTCCTCTGCAAATTCCATTAGGAAAGAGGAGATAAGACCGAGGATTGCATAGGTCTACGACAAGAGGTGGTCAGGATGTTGAACCAGGGGTACATGAAAGAACTGCTCAGCGATAAAGGAAGGGCCAACTTCGCTATAGGATGTGACCCATTTCAAGGACCTCTAAAGCCATCGTCGCCAGCACGTACCATACAGATGATCATTGGCGGTGGCGACAACTCGACAATCAACCATGTGAAGTTCACCACCACGCATAAACTCAAACGAACAGTCGCCCACGAACGATATGATGACTTCAAAGATAGTATCATCTTCGAAAAGTCAGATGCCGATGGTTTGTCTTACCCTCATTATGATGCTTTGGTTATAACTTTACGCATCACTAATACAGATGTAAAAAGAATCATGGTAGACGACGGAAGCGGCGCGTGTATTATTCACCCGAGAGTTCTCATGCAAATGAGGCTCGAAGATAAAATAATATCGTGTTGCATAACACTAATGGGTTTTAACAATACAGTAGAGGGGACATTCGGGGAAATAGCACTGCTAGTCCTAGCAGGGGAAGTCATACTGGAAACAATATTCCACGTCATGAACTAGGAAATAGCCTATAACATCATCATAGGATGCCCGTGGATACACGCCATACGAGCCGTCCCCTCAAGCTTCTATCAAGTGATCAAATTTCCCACCCCGTGGGAAATATTCAGCATCCGAGGCGAGGCGCGCACCACTCGGGAATGCTACCAGATCGCCTAAGATTGCACGCATACCAAACAACTGAAAGGTGCAAGTGCGGAGGCATAGCAATCAGCCATGTCGGGAACTAAACCCGACCCACCAACAGAGGCCATCAGAGACCCAGACATCATAGAAGCCCGCAAGGCAACTATAGAGGACCTCGACCCAGTCCAATTGGACGACGCTGACAATGCAAAAAAGGCTTACATCGGGCACAACCTCTCAGAGCCAGGTAAGTATCACAAATTCTTAACTAACAATGCCGATTTATTTTCCTTTCCCATTCAGATATGCCAGGATCCTAAAGGACATCGCCACTCATAGGCTGAACGTTGACCCACTCTATCCGCTGGTACGACAGGTGAGGAGAAAATTCAATGCCGTAATCAATGAAGCGGTCAACGAAGAGGTGGCTAAATTACTCGCCAACGGTTCAATTAGAGAATCGAAATACCCCCAATGGGTCACCAATGTGGTCATGGTCAAAAAGAAGAATGGGAAATGGCGAATGTGTGTGGACTTCACCGATCTAAACAAAGCATGTCCAAAAGACTCCTTCTCATTACCCCATATCGACCAACTGATTGATGCGATAGCGGGGCACGAATTGCTGAGTTTTTTTGGATGCCTACTTCGGTTACAACCAGATTCTAATGGACGAAGAGGATCAGGAAAAGACGACTTTCATCACTCACCAATGAACTTATTGCTATAAAGTGATGCCGTTCGGACTCAAGAACGCAGGGGCCACTTACCAGAGGTTGGTCACCAAAATGTTCAAGGAATACCTCGGTAAGACCATGGAGGTCTATATTGATGATATGTTAGTAAAGTCGACAAAGAAGGAAGACCACATTAGCCATTTGAAAGAGGCCTTCGAGATATTGAGGTAGTACGGGATAAAGTTGAATCCGGAGAAGTGCGCCTTCGGTGTGGCCTCGGGAAAATTCCTAGGTTTCCTCATATCACAACGAGGGATCGAAGTCAACCCGGATCAAATCAAAGCCATCGACATAATACCTAAGGTACTGACCAGCAAAAAATAGGTACAGAAGCTAATAGGGCAAATAGCTGCCTTGTCAAGGTTCATTTCATGATCCTCGGACAGGTGTCATAATTTCTTCAACATACTTAGGAAAGACCACGGGCTGCAATGGAACTTGTAATGCATCGACGCCTTGAGAAAATTAAAAACGTACTTATCCTCACCGCCACTACTCGTCAAAGCAGATCCGGGTGAGTCTCTACTCGTATATTTGGCAGTATCCAAAATCACTATTAGTGCAGTCTTGGTCCGCAAAAATAAAGGTACGCAGTATCCTATTTACTATATCAACAAAACCTTAATAGATGTCAAGACAAGGTACCCCCACCTTGAAAAACTAGCTCTAGCACTGGTCGTAGCTTCATGCAAGCTTAGATCATATTTTCAATGTCACCCCATAAAAGTAATAACAACCTTCCCCCTAAGAGGTATCCTGCATAAACCCGAGCTCTCAGGCAGGCTCGCAAAATGATCCATAGAACTAAGCGAGCACGACATAATTTACCAACCACGAACTGCCATTAAGTCGCAGGTGCTCGCCGATTTCGTGGCTGACTTCAGCACAGAAATATTGCCCGAGGCAGAACAAGAAGCGCTTCGCGCTTACGCATGTACCGACCTCTGAACCCTCTACACTGATGGAGCTTTGAATGCCTCGGTATCGGGACTGGGACTCGTCCTCGAAGTCCCTACAGGCGAAGTAATTTGCCAGTCCATACGATGCTCCGAGATGACTAACAACGAGGCCGAGTATGAGGCCGTGATTGCAGGTTTGAAGTTAGCCCTCAAATATGGCGCCCGACGCCTCATCCTCCACTGCGACTCTCAACTCGTTGTAAATCAAGTCACGGGGACTTTCCAAATCAAAGAGTAGAGACTACAAAGGTACCAGCCGGAAATCCACAAACTACTGTCGGAGTTCGACGAATGCTGCCTCGATCAGATTCCTAGGGCACAGAACATTGAAGCAGATGGCCTCGCCAAATTAGCAGCGGCCACCAAGAATATTAACAAGGAAAACGTGGTCACCCTCCTTCGCTCGGCCATAGACCACATCGAGGTACTTTCTATGAACCTAAATGGGACTGGCATAACCTCCTCAAAGCCTATTTGCAGGATGGAACGCTCCCGCAAGACAGAAAAGAAGCCAAGAAACTTCGGGTGCAGGCAGCTCGATACAGCCTACTAAATCACGACCTCTACAAGAGAACATTTGGTGGCCCCCTAGCCAAATGTCTTGGACCGTACCAAACAAGGCAAGTACTAGAGGAAGTACACGTGGGTCATTGCGGCGCCCATATAGGGAATCGAGCCCTCGTTCGATGCCTCATTCGCATTGGCTATTATTGGCCTACTATGAAAAAAGATGCCGCGGACTATGTCCGAAGATGCGAGAAGTGCCAAAAGTATGCCCCTATGATACATCAAGTAGGAGAACTCCTCCATTCCGTCACCTCGCCATGGTTTTTCATAAAGTGAGGGATGGACATAATCGGCCCTCTGCCAGCAGGACGAGGAAAGGTACATTTTCTTTTGGTTTTAACTAACTATTTCTCTAAATGGGTGGAAGCAGATGTGTATACTCAGGTACGCAAACAAGAGTTCATCGCCTTTATATGGAAAAATATTATATGCCATTTCGGCATCCCCAAAGAAATCAGCTGCGACAACGGACCCTAGTTCATCGGAAAGAGAACGACTTAGTTCTTCGAAAAATGGCACATCAAGCAGATACTCTCCACGCCATATCATCCCAACGCCAACGGCCAAGCCGAGTCCTTCAACAAAGTGATACTGAACATATTGAAAAAGAAGCTCAAGGAAGCTAAAGGGTTATGGCCCAAATGACTACCTGAAGTATTATGGGCATACCGCACTATGCCAAATCCCAGCACGGGAGAAAATCCATACTCACTGGTCTATGGGACCGACGCAGTCATACCCGTCGAAGTCGGGGAACCCATCCTGATATACTCCAATATAAGCGGAGCAGATAACGATGAAAGTCGGTTACAAGACCTAGATGAAGTTGAAGAACGAAGAGACATGGCCCACGTGAGAATGGTAGCCCAAAAGCAGCAAGTAGAAAGATACTACAACAAAAAAGCCAATGTAAGGTCACTCAAAGTCAGCGACTACGTCCTCAAGGCCAAAACACTGGCATCAAAAGATCCAAATGAGGGAAAATTCGGAACAAATTGGGACGAACCGTATAAAATCATAGCAGTAGCAGAAAAAGGTGCGTTCCAACTGGAAACAATGGAGGGAAAACTACTCCAAAATAACTGGAACATCGCCCATCTCAAGTACTTCCACTTTTGAAAGGCGTCATCTAAGTCATACTCTTTTTCCCTCACTCGGGTTTTGTCCCAATTGGGTTTTCTCGAGGAGGTTTTTAACGAGGCGGCGAAGGGGATGCCCTATGGATAGAATTCAATCTCCATTTTATGAAATGCAAATCTCCTAATGAACAGAATTCAATCTCTATTGTATGAACATAATTCAATCTCCATTGTATGAATAGAATTCAATCTCCATTGTATGAAATGCAAATTGTATGAACAGAATTCAATCTCCATTGTATGAAATGCAAATCTCCTAATAAGGCCATTGACATTAGTTTGACCTCGTTCGAACCACGACGAGATATTACTTCGACGACAGTCGAAGCAACATCCTAATGGCCAAGGCCATCGACATTAGTTCGACCTCGTTCGAACCACGACGAGATATTACTTCGACGACAGTCGAAGCAACATCCTAATGTCCAAGGCCATTAACATTAGTTCGACCTCGATCGAACCACGATGGGATACTACTTCGACGACAGTCGAAGCAACATCCTAATGGCCAAGGCCATCGACATTAGTTCGACCTCGTTCGAACCACGACGGGATACTACTTCGATGACAGTCGAAGCAACATCCTAATGGCCAAGGCCATCGACATTAGTTCCACCTCGTTCGAACCACGATGGGATACTACTTTGACGACAGTCGAAGCAACATCCTAATGGCCAAGACCATCGATATTAGTTAGACCTCGATCGAACCACGACGGGATACTGCTTCGACATGGCCAAGGCTATCGATATTAGTTTGACCTCGTTCAAACCAAGACAGGATACTACTTTGATGACAGTCGAAGAA